TCCTCTAACTAGGGTTCCATGGGGATCCTATTCACTGAATGTACAAAGCGAAGTGGTGAGACCACTCAGATTTCCAGAGACCCTTTTCACTTGCTGTTTCAGCAGAGTGATGGAATTTCCCCCTCCATTAAGAATAAAAATACGGTATCAGGAAAGTCATGCTTCATGGTAAATTGCAGGAGCGTGCACCAAGGCCCATTTTTAGCTTTCCAGTAAAGGCTATGTGAGTGTGACAATGGAAACTTTCCTGAGTGCAGCAGACTAAGTGTTTTCATAGGCCCACGCTGGGGGAAGTCTGAATGGAACAGCTCCCAGACAGCTGTTAAGAAAATACTCACCGAGGGAGTGTAGAAGGGAAGTGAAGCAATGCTAAACCTCATCCAGGCAGCTATTCTGCAACATATGGAATTAACCCTTCCAGCAGGCAAACCAGCACAATTACCAAAAGATGCTGCTTCTCCTCCACTGTGCTGCAGGCTGGCAAAACGATTTAGACCCGCTGCTTATTTGCCATTTTCAGAAACACACACTGATGTGGCCTGCTAGCAGTTTAGCCATACCAAGAGCCACTGTGCTCTTCACTGAAGCTGCATTAACAACGTGGAAGTGAATTATTGGCTGTGTGAAAAATGCCCGCAAGGAGTAGAAATGGCAAAGGGGTGCAGAAGGGATAGGATGCTAATTTAGCCTGGTTGTTTTTGTGACAACGCAGGATCCATGGGATTCCCAGCATGCACTGCACTACTGGAGAGGAGGATGTTTATGTCCTGAGTGATGTACAGAGCATAAAGTAGTTTGGAGTGCTGCTAGGGAAAGGCCCCATGGTTTAGTGTACATCCAGAGTGCAACTGTCTCCAAAACATTCCAGTCTGAAAAATCCTAAGTGACAGGAGCCAGTCATTCCAGCCAAGGTAAAGTGAATGCCAGAGAGGTGGGAAATTTGTAACTACACACTGATGGCTTAATTTGCTGCAGTTAGAAAGATGAACCAAAGTATGCTAAAAATCTACTTGAACAGAATATTGGTTCTCTCCCCCTTTAACAAACATACTGTATTTAGATCTATCATTAGCTCTTCTATAGAGCTCAAAGCACATTACAAAAGTTGCGTGTCATTATCCCTATTTTAGAGACTGGGAAACTGAGTCACAGAGATAAGGAAATTCCTCCGTGATGACCGTTTTGTTTCAGAGCTGGGAACAGAACCCAGACCTTATGGCTCACAATCCAGCATGCTATCGACAGCACCAAGCTGGCCCCACGCAAGACAGCTGTTGGTTGGATTGTTTTTTTCCCAGCACCTGGATTCATGTGAGCCATCCATGTTCTTCACTTCAAATCAGAGCTGTGTGGAACAAAGGTAACAAAATAAATCATTCCGTTGGAAATTCACTTGGCATAGGGTGACCTTTTCTAAAACCTGGAGAAAAACTGCACCTCTGCCTTCTTAGCACCACAAAGTGGCTAATTCAAGTTCCTTATGCTTTGAAAAGCAGTTTAATTTTAACGCAGATGTAACTTTTTTTTTTTGTAATTAAGAGACCAAGAAAAATATGTGATTTGTACCGCCAGACTGGTGAGGACAAGCACAGCTTCTCCATAGTGCTGATTTTAATCTTATTTTTTAGTTAGCTGACGGATGTCTGGTTATGACACTGCAGCTAGAGGTAATTTCTGCTGGGCACCCAGCCTCTAACCCAGAACAATCAGCATCATAGTGCTCTGTGCTTTTACCTACTTAGTTATGAGCTAAACTGTGGAATTGGCGCTCCAATTCCAGCTCCCAGACAGGAAGGAAAGTGGGCAGTGCTTGAAGATTCTTGCGTTTTCACAGATCATGCTTATGTTTAACATGCTCCATACCCAGAGCAGCCAAAAATCCATTTGCTGCAGCCTTCAGGCATATGTAGCTCCCCTAGGGACCAATCTCGGCACAAAGAACTGTTGCTAAAAGTTTAGTGAGGTCATATGTCTGGCAAACTTAATGGCAACAAATTAAACTACTTTTTTAAGAACTTGGCTTAGGGTTTGCCTTGGAGATCCAAACCAAAATCCTTAACCCCTGGTTGTCCTCCCAGGAGTCACCCAGAGCAAAATCAGCAAAACCGAGCCCTTTTCAGACTGTATAGATGTACATTTTGGAATAAAATTACAACCCACTCCCCCCCTCACTCATCTATTCAATTGCTTCTTGAAGTAGTAGTTTTGCAAAATGATCATTGCAGATTGTCCAGTGCCATGAAAACGAGAAATTTAAAAGTGAGAGGAGATTTAAATCACTTGGGGGGGAGGGGAGAGTATTTTGTTCTAGGTTCTGTTAAGATACTTTGTCAGTCTTTCTGAGATCACAGAAACCTGGAGCTACATTAGTAACGTGAAATGTGGAATTTCCATAACCGCCTAAGTGAATTAAGAGGGCAATTCTCATTGAAGATCCATGGCACTTGTGTTCCTAACTTGAGAATACAACCTCTAATTCTCAGGAGAATAATTAGAAATGTATTGATCAAGAACATTTTTGGTTGAAAGTTGAATAGAATATATATTATATATATAGTTAGACACGTCTACATCATTATTAACCATTTAATTCAGTTATATATACACACACACACACACAAATATATTATATTTTTTTTATACACACACACACCTCTGTATACACACAAATGAGCATCTTTGAAATTAGTTCACCTTAAAAACTAAAAGGAAAAGGATCTACATTGAATGTTATACCCAAATTGCTTTTATTGAAAGCTTCCATAAAAAATACTATACAAAATGCTTACGTCTCCAAGACATTACTATAGTTACACTATTAAGAGCAATACAAAGCTATATTTTATAAAGTTTTAGATGAAAAGCATTTAAGAGAAAATTGAAATCTAACTTAACTAAAGAGCTTTCCAAGACATTTGGATTCAATTGATAAGATAAGTTCTCATTCCATGAAACCACTTTTTATTTTAATCATTTCTGCCAATCAAATTAGATCAGTTTAGGGATAGCCCTCCTCCTTTAAAAGCAGATTTTCCTTGTTTTAAATTTTCTTTCTCCATCAATGAAAATGATGTAATGACTTCACAACAGAAAGCCACTGAAAGCTTCTAGAAAGAGCATTTAAAAAATGGCTATTAGGGGAAAAAATATCACTGGATCGATTCTAGTAGATGAATTTTAGTGAAAATAATGATTTCTCAGATTCACAGCTTGGAAATGGAGAAAATAAGCATTCTTAGTCTGCGGTTATGCAGAAAGAAATTCAAATTCATCAACCAAAGATGCTTGGAAATAAAACAAAGCCACTGGCTGCTTGCAAACCAAAAGGAGTGAAATCTATTATGTAGCTCCAGCTAGAAGGAGTTGGAGATGTGGGAAGCACTTGCATAGGAGGAGATAAGGATCTTTCTGGTGCTGGGAGAGACAATGAAAAGAGTTTTATCCTGATGGAAATAAGCAGCTCTCAGTCGGATTTAACAAGGTTTCAATAGAATTCAGGGGGACACAGCTTTCCGCAGAAACAGGTGCAAGAAAAGGGCTGGTTTTGCATAGGCCTGTGTGAAGACAGACATGCCAGCCAGGCCTCAGGCAAACTTCCATAATGCCCAGAGCACATCTGGAGATGGCAGGATTTGGAAGCTATGTGGGAGAGGAATGAGGCCGGGAGTCAGTGCAACTGAAAGGGTCAGAAATGCAGCAGCTAGGAGGATTTCAGCAACCAGGTGAGGCTGGGGCTCCTGCAGCCCATTTCTCAAGGTGGGTAGGTAGTAGTGACACAGCAAGCAGTTACGTGGGGGGAGGTCATAGGTGAATGCTGGGAGGAGTATTAGCAAAGGCTCCTGTGCAGTCACATACTGGACACATGCATAGAGTCCTGACCATAGAGTCTATGGGGAGGAAATATCAACGTGAACTGAAGTGCCATTCCAGCTATAAAATATCAAGATAAAATTGATTTGGGACACTCAGAAAAAGTAAAAGGCTGCGCTAACAGTTCTGCTATTTATCCTCCTCCCCACAACTCCCTTAAAAAAATGAATCAAGGAGAATTAAGGAGAATATTCCTTGGGACCATATTGTTTCTTACTAGCTGGTGCCTCTCATCTCGCCTTAGGCCTTGCTAGTTTCACTCTCTACAAACTGCATAAGAGATGAGTAGATCCTACACACTACAATATCCTTTGTGCAAAGGACATTGAGATTCGCTCTTCATCAAATTCCCTAGGAGCCATTTGGGACTTGCATGATGCAGAACCTTCTAGAAGCATGAGTCATGTTCTCTGCTTGATGCTTGCTACAGTTTTAGAATAGAGGTGCACGTCCACCATTTGGGCATTCTTTGCCTGTGAGCAAACCCCCCAGCACGCACGCAGACACCTCAACTATAGATCAGTAAATCTGGTACAGCACTTTCCAGATGCTTCACATTCCCCAATGCTCAGATTAACTAGTTTAGCTCAGCAGCAGCTCTGAGAAGTTAGGATCTTCCCTTCCCCTACACTCCATATACAATACTTGTGCTCTCAACAGAGCTGGCGCTAGGCATAAGCAGACTTCGGGCTTGTACACACTAGTGCTTACTTCGGTATAACTTATGTCGCTCAGGGGTGTGAATAAGCCACACTCCTGAGTGACCTAAGCAACTCCACCTTCCCGAGCAGCAGTAATGATGCCGATGTGAGAGCTCTCCCCCATCGGCATACAGCATCTGCTCTAGCAGCGCTACCGCGGCGCAGCTACATGCATACAGCTGTGCTGCTGGAGCGATTCTAGCATAGACTAGTGCTAACTAATTGCTTAGGGTCCCGAGCAACTCATAGGGGCCCCCTATTCAAATTTTATTATGTACTGTGGAGACAAAAAAATATTCCTGCTTAGGGCCCCCCATGGGCTAGCACTGCCTCTGCTCAATGGGGATTTAACTCAAAGGATCACAAATTGTTAGCTGTGTTTAGTGAAATAAGAATTTTATTCTTAGAGTAACAAAAAAGTGTATTTACAGATGCCATTGGCTGTACATTTTATTTTAATAAAATAAGTGATTCCATCTGTTAAAAATGATTCACCCAAAGTATTAGAAAAACACAAACAAAACCCCAAGCCTCCAGACAACTCCGGCTTTATCAGCCCCTCGTGGAATCAATTCCCTTTACTGTGCATGAGCTTCTGCTGATTCTCAAGACACTCCTTCAGCTTGTCTTCAGTCAGTGTCAGTCTCTGCTCCAGAATGGAAACAGTCTACAAAGGGAAATAATAAAATAAAGAGTGCTGCTGAGTGATATATGAAGATAAGCCACATGCTGTACGTTTACTGCTTAGCACAGCTGCTAAATATAACGTATCACAAGCTATTCCAGGGCTATACTCCACAATCAGAATTTCCGAAGAGGCTTCAAGCTCAGCAACTTCTATTGAGGATAATGGGAGCTGCCGAGCTCAGTTGAAAATCTGGCCCTAGTTATGGGTGCTGAGCACTTTCAAAGCGTGGGCCCAGATTTCCTCTTCACTCCCTCACTCCTTTTGGTGGAGTGTTGTCTCCTTTTACATATAGGCAATTTCTGCTTCTAAAAGGCCAAATACCAGAGAGCTCATGTAATAGGTGTACACTTTAAACCCCTGACATACAGGTGCTTTGAGTAGTTATTCCCCTTTTTGGCCTGTTGTCTTTGATTTCATGTCTTAGTTCCAATTCTTTTCTCCTTTCCTGATTGCTGTGTCAGTTAGCTTAGAGATGGGCTGCTGATTTATGACAAACAAACAGACCAGAAATTAAATGACAGGCAAAAAACCTCGACAAGTCTAGAGTAGGCACAATTGCAAAAACAATGGTAAATATTCTTAGATATGCTTTGTGACATTCCACTCCATATTCTTTAAGAAATATGCTTATGATATGGATATGACATAACGGATATACTTTATGTAAGATATCACTGGAAAGGTTATGATTTACTGAATGTGATTATCCAATCTGTATGCCTGTATCATTTCTGTATCTGAAATTAGGAATATTGACTAGCTGTATTTCAAATATGTTACTTTGGGTGTCACCCCCAACTAGCCCTTCAGGTACAACAATGGAAAAGCCAGACAGGACTAATGGGCCATTAGCAAAGACAATGGACTGTGAAAGGGCTTAGTCTTCCTGTGGACACTCCAGACAGCCTTGGAGTAATGGCTGCCACAGCCCTGCAGACACATGGGTCTGAGTAACCTGGTACTGGACCCACCCCTTGGAATGCCAGTGTTCTTCCACTGGGAGACAAAGGGTTCCCACCATACACAAGAGCTATATACGGCAGGGGAGTGACATCATCATGGTTCTCCTCTTCCTCCCCACCCAAAGAGACACTGAAAAACACGTGGGAGCAAGAACTGAACTGAGGGGAGAAGGGTTGAACCCAGGCTGGGAGGGCGTCCAGTCTGTGAGTGGAAATACCTGAAGTCTCAAGCTGCAGGCCAGTGCAGCTGCCTTTCAAGACTTTTTGTAATCTACCTGTGACAATATTTAGGGTGAGAAATTATATTTTGTAACCTGTTTCTTTAGTGAATCAAACTTAGTTTGCGTGTTTTGTTTTATTTGTTTAGTAATCTGTTCTGTTTGCTACCCCTTTAACCACTTCAAATTTTATTAACTATAAAAGGCAGATTTTTGTTTGTTTATTATTAAATCCAGTTTCTGTAATTTCTAACTCGGGGGGCAAGTTGTAGTACATATCTTCCTCCACATTGAGGGAGGAGGCAAATTTATTAGCTTGCGTTGTATAGATTTCTCCACAGTGCACGACAATATACCTTTGGGTCTGCACTCCAAGGGAGGTGGACACCTGAGTGCTGGGGCAAGTCCCTTAAGCTGAGGCTTCCCAGAGCTGATCTCAGTGTCTGTCGTTTTGCAGTTGGGTGTGGCCCTGCCTGTGTGTGTGCTAGAGGAGACTTAATAGCCTGGCTCAGCAAGACAGGGTAAAGGGGGCCCAGGCTGGCAGAACAGGTGGGCTCAGTGGTATCCCAGCACATCAGGTGGCATCTTAAAGGGGGGCAACCCATCACATGCTTATCTTAAGATTGTATTTGTGCCCTCGAAAGAGACTGATTAATGCCTTATAAATACGATCACCGCTAGCTCTTTCTCATAGCTCTAAAATCTAGATACAAACACGCAAAGTATGCAGGAAGCATATTTTAAATTACATGGAGATAAAATTTTCTGCTGGAAGTAATTTATTGATTACTTTGAAGTAATCAAAGGTAGTCAGCAAGGTAAAAGTGCATTTCAAGGACACTGGAGCAGTTGGTAATATTGAAACATTAGATAGAGAAAGCATTAAATATAATTAATCAATATTTAATCACTAACACAATAATTTCACATTTTTACTAGGGCTGTCAATTAATTGCAGTTAAGTCACACGATTAACAAAAAAATTAATTGCAGTATTAATCGCACTGTTAAACAATACCAATTGAAATGTATTAAATATTTTGGATGTTTTTCTACATTTTCACATATTGTATTCTGTGTTGCAATTGAAATCAAACTGTATATCTTTTTATTACAAATATTTGCACTGTAAAAATGAAAAACAAAAGAAAAAGTATTTTTCAATTCACCTCATACAAGTACTGTAGTGCAATCTCTGTTGGGAAGGCGCAATTTACAAATGTAGATTTTCTTTTTGTTACATAACTGCACTCAACAACAATGTAAAACTTCAGAGCCTACAAGTCCACTCAGTCCTACTTCTTGTTCAGCCAATTGTTAAGACAGACAAGTTTGTTTACATTTACAGGGGGAGGTATAGCTCAGTGGTTTGAGCATTGGCCTGCTAAACCCAGGGTTGAGAGTTCAGTCCTTGAGGGGGCCATTTAGGGAACTGGGGTAAAAATCTGTCTGGGGATTGGTCCTGCTTTGAGCAGGAAGTTAGACTAAATGACCTCCTGAGGTCCCTTCCAACTCTGATATTCTATGATTCTACAGGAGATAATGCTGCCCCCTTCTTATTTACGTCACCAGAAAAGGAGAACAGGCATTTACATGGCACTTTTGTAGCCGACATTGCAAGGTATTTACGTGCCAGATATGCTAAACATTCGTATGCCCCTTCATGCTTCGGCCACCATTCCAGAGGACATGCTTCCATACTGATGACGCTCATTAAAAAAATAATGTGTTAATTACATTTGTGACTGAACTCCTTGGGGGAGACTTGTATGTCCCCTGCTCTGTTTTACCCACATTCAGCCATATATTTTGTGTTATAGTAGTCTCGGATGATGACCCAGCACATGTTCATTTTAAGGACACTTTCACAGCAGATTTCACAAAACACAAAGAAGGTACCAATGTGAGATAGCTATCTAAAGATAGCTACAGCACTCAACCCAAGGTTTAAGAATCTGAAGTGCTTCCAAAATCTGAGAGGGACGAGGTGTGAAACATGCTTTCAGAAGTCTTAAAAGAGCAACACTCCGATGCGGAAACTACAGAACCCTAACCACCAAAAAAGTAAATCAACTTTCTGCTGGTGTCATCTGAATCAGATAACGAAAATGAGCACGCATCGGTCCGCACTGCTTTGGATGGTTATCGAGCAGAACCCGTCATCAGCATGGATACATGCCCACTGGAATGGTGGTTGAAGCATGAAGGGACATATGAATCTTTAGCGCATCTGGCATGTAAATATCTTGTGACGCCAGCTACAACAGTGCCATCAGAATGCCTGTTTTCACTTTCACGTAACATTGTAAACAAGAGGCGGGCAGCATTATGTCCTGCAAATGTAAACAGACTTGTTTGTCTGAGCGATTGGCTGAAGAAATAGGACTGAGTGGACTTGCAGGTTCTAAAATGTACACTGGTTTATTTTTGAATGCAGGTTTTTTTGTACATAATTCTACATTTGAAATTTCAACTTTCATGACAAAGAGATTGCACTACAGTACTTGTATTAGGCGAATTGAAAAAATACTATTTCTTTTGTTTTTTTTACAGTGCAAATACTAGTAATCTAAAATAAATATAAAGTGAGCACTCTGTATTCTGTGTTGTAATTTAAATCAATATATTTGAAAATGTAGAAAACATCCAAAAATATGTAAATAAATGGTATTCTACTATTGTTCAACAGTGCGATTAATCGCACAATTAATTGCAATTAATTTTTTTAATCGCTTGACAGCCCTAATTTTTTTTTATCAGTTAAAACCTAAAATGAGAAGCTCTGTTATAAACACTGATAAAACACTCCTCACACAAATGAAACGGGTGTTTTCCAATAAACACTAGAAAAACACTGTGACGTTGTGCAGTCTATATGGTTTTATAAAAACATGATAATAAGTGAATATAATGTAACTGGGATAGTTTTAGAAAAATATGGTAAAAAGTGAATATAACGTAACTGGGATATGCTTCATGCAAAAGGTCTCTTGTAAGGTATCATTACAAAGCTTATAATCTACTGAGTGTGATCATCCGATTTGTATAAATGTACCACTCTTGTATCTAAAACTAGAAATATAAAATATAACTCTGAGGGCCTATTGTAATTATGTAAAGTGTGGGCCATTAAGGATGGTTTGGAATCTTGATGACTCCCATTAACCAGGACCATTGTCTGCAGATGGTTGTGTTTACCTGTGAATCTTCCTGTATATGTGTGTGCTGGCAAGTGAGTAATGAAGTCTTGCAGTGACATGTGATCATGTCACCTGAACTGGAATCCATCTTTAACCTGGTGCTTTTCCAGTGAGGGGGGGTGGAAACCCAGAGGGACAAAGGGTTCCCGCCTTATGCAAAAGATATATAAAGGGGTGGAAGAGAACAAAGGAGGGAGAGGAGCCATCATGAAGAATCCCCTAGCTATCACCTGAGCTGCAACAAGAGCTGTACCAGGGGAAAGAATTGTGCCCAGGCCTGGAAGGTGTCCAGTCTGAGAAAAAACTTACTGAAGCATCTCTGAGGGTGAGATTATCTGTATTCAGTTTGATTAGGCATAGATTTGCGCATTTTATTTTATTTTGCTTGGTGACTTACTTTGTTCTGTCTGTTACTACTTGGAACCTCTTAAATCCTACTGTCTGTATTTAATAAAATCACTTTTTATTTAGTAATTTACTCAGAGTATGTATGAATACCTGGGGGAGCAAACAACTGTGCATATCTCTATCAGTGTTATAGAGGGCGAACAATTTATGAGTTTGCCCTGCATAAGCTTTATGCAGGGTAAAACAGATTT